GTGTGTGTGTGTGTGTGGGGGGGGGTCTTACTGCATATGGTTTAGGTTTTGTTTAGTTTTTCATAGTCAGGTATTCTTAAATAAATATAAGTTAGGGAAAGTTTTGATGCAAGACTTTTTTAGCTACAGCACATTTGTTCTACATCTAATCAGTTGTTAAGAGAAGAGTTCAGACAAAAATTACATAAATTTAAAATAATTTATTCATAGTTTATTCATCAGGCACGTACAAGAAGAACAAAGTCATCAAACTGTTGCACAATCAAGCCAATAGAACAAAACCAAAGTGCATAATATACAGTATACATAGAACAGGCAAACACTGAAATAAATCATCTGAAACAAACAGAATCAGAAGAAACTTGTTMTAAAACACAACAAAGTCAAGTTTCTTAAAGATTTTACATTCAGGTCAAATAAACATGTCAAACATCTGTCATGAATCCAGAACAATACAAATGACTTAATATTTAAAGTTTACCCATAAATTTATGATTAAGAAACTCAAGAAAGTAAAATTTTTATAAATTCTAAACATGTTGCCTAAATTTTCCTAAGGAAACTAAGTCCAGCTCAGGTCAGTCAGCTGCACTGAACAAAAATCAAGCCAACCTTTTAAAATTAATTTGAATCTTTGGTCTCTGATTGTGACCTAAGTTGTTTTATTCTTTCATTAGATTTTTWAACTTTTTGTTAAACCTTTTCATGATTTGTGTCAATCTTTTACCTTTGTTTTATCCAGAGCGCTGATCGAGTTTATGATTATTACTCAGCTGCATTTGTTAGCAGTTAAAAATGAAGTACCTGGTTGTGTGTTTGCACATCAGTGCTTGTCAGTAACTCTGTGCTGAAAACCTCTCAGGGGGACAGTCCTGCAGTGGAGTGTGTGGATTTGCCATATGTCTGCTTTTTTTTTTCTGACAAAAAGCTTGTTTTGGGTAACAATAATAATGCGCAGAAGCTGCTTTGATTTTAAACAGAACAAAGACCACACACTGCACATTGTCAAGTGACTGACTYTTTGATTGACCAAACAAAATAAACTAGTTGTGCATCTTTACAGACTTCCAGAGAAAACACCTGTGATCCATGGCTTCAAAAAATAATAAAAGTCTTGCTTGACAATTTATTATTATTGTTTGATGTGCAATCAAGCATGTGGTAGGAAACAATCTGAATGTCAGAGACTTCTTCAGGAAAAATGTGCATTTTYAAACTGATAATACAATAAAACAAGTTGCAAAGTATGAGATTAAACATAAAAACATGGCATGGTGCAGTTTGACAGAGTTTACKCCAGGTGTTTTTCAGATACAYTGAACGCAGTTGGAAAATGCRGGTCCTCACTAAATACAAACACGGTCTATATCTGGTTTTAGTTTGTGTACATAAACAAATATGGCTGATAARATTAACACTCAGTCACTTTGGCTCCATGCGAACATGGACCATGTAAAAAACCACATGTAGATGCACACATTTTCTCATTCAACTTTAAATAAACAATAACAATTTCTACGTGAAAACCATTGTGAGAATTAAGTTTAATACTCTTAAGATTATATTTTTTGTCCAATCTTTGACTTTGCRATAAGTACATTTAATGTCCCATAAAAAGACTTACATTCAAAAGTGCTTTTATGTCCTGATAATTCACATTTTCATGAACAGCTTTTGTGTAGAGAAAAATCAATTTAAAAGTTTGACATTTACTGTAAACATAAATTTAAAATAAACGGACAACAGTGCAAGATGATTTTAGAATACAGAAACTTTTCACATATATATTTTGAACCTTCAGAATGTCTTATTTTTATGCCCATTCACTTTCCCTGAATCTTCAGTTTTAAAATATTTGGTATAAATAGAAAAACCTTGACTTGCCAGTTCCACCTACACGTCACAGTTTCTTTGTACCTTTGTCTTTTCACAGACTTTAGTTTTTATTAAGTTTCTTTAATAAAATTTTTTTGTTCTAGCATATAAAATCAGCTTTTTTATTGCAGAATGCAATTTCTTGCTTTCTCCAATATAAAATCATTTTAAAAATCTATATAACAACACATCATGACCTTTAATTTTTTTTGTAACTTCCAGCATGATGGAACAGAATAAAGCTAACATGTCCACTTTACATGAGATGTTCCATCTYTTTGAGTGGAAAAAGCAACTTTTATACTTTTACAGCACTTTTTCACAGGTTAAAGAGCAATTACACAGACTRTTTGTGACAAGTGTGTGAAAAAAGGCATTTTTTTTTTGATGCTGTGAAAAATATACAATCAAAATAGTTTGTCATACAATAGAAGAGTAAAATACATATCATTAAACACCAAGCTTTTATTAGGTGTCATTAGAATCCATTTACATGAGATTGAAATGTGAGACTATACAGTAAAAGTTTACATTTTTTTTGGTGGGCTTGAAAATTAAACAAAAAAAGGTTTTTTGTCTTATCTTGAAAAGTCTRTTTGTAAACGATGTATTCCGTAATTCTTCCTAAAAGACGTCGGTGCCCTTTGACCCTTGATTGAACGATTACACGATCTGATCAGATAACCGCGACAGGTTGTCCACATTATTCACCTGGGTCGACAGGGACTTCCTGCTGTCCGTGTTCGCTCGGGCCCTCATCCGATTTTGTTGGTTTTGTCGTTGACCACAGCAGCTGCAAGAAAAGGCTGATTTGAACTCTTCACGAAATTTTCCTGGGAAAGTGAGGACATTTGAAATGAATTTTTGAAGTGCCTGTATCAATCAGAAATGGTGTAATTTTTTTTATAGTCTGCAGTTAGAAAAAAAATAAAGCATTCTGCTGCTTTCAGCATGTGGTATTTACCAGAACACCTGTATGTTAATCAAACTGTCCACTAGAGGGCAGTGATGAACATTTATTTGTTTTTGTTTTTTTTTCCCTAAATGAAGCAGAAGTGGTGGAGAAAAAAGGGCGGGTTTAAAAAAAACTCACCACTCAGGAAATTATAAATGATGGGATTTGCTGCACTGTTGGCATATATGAGCCAGTGTGAGAAGGTGAACCATGCGTACACTGTTTCTCTGTCATTTGTGTTCTTGAATGTCCCAAAGACTCTGCAAAGAAAGAGAAGAAATCAAGTAAAATCTATGCTTTCCACTGAGGAAAGAAGAGCAACATTTAATCAACTCTARTAAACTGCATCAATGACTAAGATGAGAGAAAACCTAAAATCTAAGTTCTGATCTRGAAGTGCTGTTTGTTCTCTTTGGCTCTTGATCCCAAACAGAGGAGCTGCTTACCTTTTCATGATGTTGAGCACGCTGATCGGCAGGTAGCACAGAGCAAACACAAAGAGCACCACCATCAGCATGCGAGCTGTTTTACGTCTGGCTCGCACTTGTTTGATCTCAGCGCAAACCGTGCCGGTCCTGACCCGCACGGGTTCCCCCGATCCTGCCGTCTGAGCCGAGCACCGGAGAGTCCTCCACTTCCTCTGAATCACTGATGTGCTTCCAGGAATCTGTTGAATAAGTATATTGTTTAACAGCTAGATTAATGTTTACACATGGATTTAGGAGAATGGAGATAAACTATAGGGCAGGATTTGGGGCTTAGGAAGGCAATTTCAGGTCTGATCATGGATTTTTTTTTAGAGTTAGGAAGGTGAAAAATACACCAAGTCACCTAAAATACTTGGTTAGTAAGAAAATCTTTATTCTCCATTCTATTCAAGTTCAGAAATAATTTCAACTATTTGTCTCATGGACATCTTTAAGTGGATGATGGAATTAAATACATTTTAAAAAGTATGGCAGTATGCACTTGTTAACTTTTTAAAACTGCATGTAAGCACAAACAATTTTCAGTAAAAAACAATGCAAAAAATCACATTCTAGCAATTTTTATCAAATTTTTGACAACATGCACTTCAGAGAGCATTGTTAGCCTAATTGCTTGTTTGAGATTATTTTTTAGTTTATATTTATTTCCTGAGGTTAAAACAATATAACACTGTAAATCATAGAAATGGGACAGTTGCAAATGATGACCAAWATTCAGAAGTGTAATAGCAAAACAATAGAAACATCTAATGTGTGGTAATTTTCTCCTAAGAATGATTCATTCACAGTCTCARTTTTCTCTTTTTTTCAACTTTCTTTAATGGTTTTAGCTGCAACAGTTGTGTTTAATCAAAATCCCAACTACAAAATCTCAACTTTCCTGGGATGGGGGAGGAGGGTTACAGTTTGCCCCTACCATGTGGGAAWACTGATTCAGAATTCACACTGCTGTGTTCCTGTTTCGTGCCTTTTTGCAGTCATGGCTGCAGAAGCTCGGCGGTCAGTGTTGTGGGATTGTAACCCTGAAAGGATCAAGCTTTTACTGTGAAAACTCAAAGCCTGAAACTCTATCAGTGTGCGCCTGACTTCGACTGTGACTGAAGCCAGATCAACAAAAACATACTCTGAGAACATCAAGCTTCAGTGACAGACTGCTGCATCCTAAATGCACAAAGCAGTGTTATCATAGATCCTTCCTCCCAGCAGCTGTCAGACATTATAACCATCACTGCTCCCTTCAAACTCAATAAGCATTTACATCCTTGCTGGCATTTGCAGAATCATTTACACTGTTTTCATTCATTTCAAAATAACATTTCTGCTGTTACTGCACAACTGCTTTTTTTCTGCACTGGTATACTGTATTTTAAATAGTCTGTTGTATTTTATTTTATTCTATTCTATRAAAAAAACAATGATTTTTAAATACACACCTGTTGACACCACAGCTTGTGGCATATCTGGATGTATGCCAGGACCATGAGACATAACGGAGCAACGTACGTAACGATGAAGAAACCAATGTGGTACACTTTTGGGTAGATCTCAGCTGTGAAAAGAAGTAGGCAATGTAAGTACAACAATGTGTGTCCGGTCACTGAGGAAGTAGAGATAATTGAGTCAGAACCCCCTGATCATTATTGATTGATAATGACTGACTCCTGACTCTGTAGGGTTTCTAATTGAGTGTCTGGAGATCAGACCTGCCTTTGCTCTGCTCACTGTGAAGGGAAACTATTTCATTCCCAAATCTGTGAGTGTAACCGGTGTAATGAAATAATGAATACTTCAGAAATAATTAATCATCAACTGAGAGCTTTTTGCTGAGCAGCACAAATTTATAGTGACAGCCATTATTAGTAATATATCTTCGTTCAGGATCAATCATTAGTAGGTAATTAATAATTTTATTGAAATGTCTGAGATTGTTTTGGCAGCTGTCGCTTTTTGTTGATTACTTTTTGTTCATTAAACGTTCTGGATTTCATTAACTGCCTGCAGGCATGGAGCAGGTTTAAAGTTTTTCTTTGAGCAACAGAAAAAAAACCTGACTGGCWCAAATTGTACACATATAAAATCATCATGTTCTGTATATTTTTTCATGTCATATTCGGATTATGGTGTATTCATTTACGCACTRAGCTGAACAGATTGACTCCTGCTCTGCAGTATGTTGGACCTTTTTTAAAGAAAACAAGACAAATGTGATCCTAATCTGTCTTTGGTCTGCTAGATTTTTAAGTCTTTCCATTCAACCTGTGCCTCTGGCAAGAAGTTAAAAACAGATGAACGAGGTTCGATTTGTCAGAACGAACCTCCCCAGTGTTCGTCGCACACGGTGAACAGGCTGGTCTTGTTTGTAAGTTCAGGCAGCAGGCTGCTGCACTCCATCACAACGGCCTGAGGGATCATGATGATGCACGACACCACCCAGATGGCAACGATGCTTTTGCGGGCCCTCTTGGCTGTGCTCTTGAACATTAGTGGGTGACAGATCGCATACCAACGATCCTGGGCAATGCAGCTTAGCGTTAGCACTGATACAGACACAGAGATGGTCTGCAGGGGGGTGGGAATCAGAAAATTAGATCACATTTTGTGTAGCAACAATATTGCACAAAATAGTCACCTGAAAATTTAGTGAGTTTGAAGACAGTAGTAATTAAAAGGAAATACCCTCCACCCTTATATTAAATGAACAAACAAGATGTTTTCTTCAGCCCATCAGTGCCCTATTTTTATTTTATTTGATTACATTTTCCCATTTCAAAGCTAAACCCGAATATCTGCTCTTTTGGTTCTCTATAACACAATTACTGACTTGAACATCTGCTGAGATCAAGCACACATGTGTAGCTATATCAGAACATTAATTACCAAGAAATAGTTTCAACAGATCTGCTAGTACTTCAAARTCTTTCATTTGAGCGCGTGTTTCCGGGATTAAATCAGTCCAATAAGGAAGAAGTGGGGGTCAATACCCCTCTTCTCAACATGTTTTCTCTTCCTTTTTATGGAGGACAAACTACAYTCACCACTATTTAAATTTAGCTACCTTGGTACACAAAACACTGGGGGAAATTGGACCAATTTAAGGTCTGTGGCAGAATTCCAACGAGTGCATTCAGTTCAGAAAAGTCCTACTAATTTCATGAGGAAGTTTAAAACCTGTGTTCACTTCCTGTGGGAACAAAATGTTCACCTCAGTTCTTTTGAGAATAATATTAGGGTGCCGCATGCATACTGAATCACCCTTACTGGCTAATCAGAAAGGCTCATTTAAGGTGCACAAGTGAGCAGAAGAAATATTTTAGCAGCAGCAGAAGGGGGCAAAATTATCACACACACACACACACACACACACACACACACACACACACACACACACACACACACACACAC